TCTCTCATGAATAAATAAATAAAATCTTTAAAAAATAAAATAAAATAAAATAAAATGCGCAGCACACAGTAAGCATTAAATAGATGTTTGCTAAGTGTGTTCTTTCCTCTGGAACACTGGGGTCATCCCAGCTGCCTCCCACCCTGGCCCCTCTCTAAAGGGCTGTACTGGGTAGCTATTACTGTACAGTAAACCATCCCCAAACTCAGTGGCTTGAAACAATTGCTCATGAATCTGTGGGCCAGCTGGGCAATCCTGCTGACCCGAGCAGGTTCACATAATCTCTACCGGGCCCATTCCTGCAACTACAGGCAGCCAGCAGGTTGCCGGGGCTGGTGGGTCTGGGATGGCCTCATCCCACGCGTCTGGCTTTTGGGTGGGCAGCAGGGGTGACTGTTGTGGGGATTAAACAAGGTTCTGCAGGGAAGGGGCTGAGCACATGCAAGGTGCCCAGCGCACACAGAGCAAATATTCAACAAAGAGAGGTCATACTCTTAGCGCACAGGCCCATGCTGGGCTGTGCTGAATCCTACCTCTGCTTCCGAAGGCTGAGGAGATGGAAACCAGGCTAAACAGGACTGTGATTTCAGATGGGGAACCATGAAAGGGCAACTATAGAGTAAGAGCTTAATTACAGTTCTTTGGGGGAAAAAAGTGAGGAATGAAATCTGGTGGGGAGAGGGAAGGGGACAGGGGGGAGAAGCAAGTGGAGGGGAGAGAGAGAGGGAGGTCTAAAAAGGAAAAGCTAAGCCATTGGAAAGGCATCTCCCCTCATCCTCTAAAAAAATATTCATGATATTTTCCTTTCATGTTTTGTTGCTCTGCTTATAAAATCAGTGTGTGCTCACTTTAAAGAGTTTAAAAAATACATACACTGAGGGCATTATGCTAGGTCAAATAAGTCAGAGAATGACAAATACCATATGATCTCACTTATACGTGGAATCTAAAAACAAAAACAAAACTGAACTCATAGATACAGAGAACACATAGGTGGTTGTCAGAGGTGAGGTAGGCAAAATGGGTGAAGAGGGTCAAAAGGTACACACTTTCACTTGTAAGGTTATGAGTCTCAGGGCTGTAATGTACAGCATGAAAACTATACTTAATACTGTATTGTAGGGGCGCCTGGGTGGCTCAGATGGTTAAGCGTCTGTCTTTGGCTCAGGTCATGATCTCCAGATCCTGGGATCGAGCCCTGCATCGGGCTCCAGCTCAGCGGGGAGTCTGCTTCTCTCTCTCTCCCTCTGCCTCTCCCCCTGCTTGTGCTCTGTCTCTCTCTCTCAAATGAATAAATAAAATCTTAAAAAAAAAAATACTGTACTGTATATTTGAAAGTTGCTATGGGAGTACATCTTAAAAGTTTTCATCCCAAGAAAAAAAATTTGTAACTACATGGGGTGATGGATGTCAACTGGGCTTATTTTGGTGATCACTGCATAGCATATACAAATGCTGAATCATTCTGTTGTATACCGGAAACTAATATAATGTTATATGTCAATTATATCTCAATAAAAGAATACACAGACTACTTCACCCATAATCCCATCAAACAGACATAATGGCTGATATTTACATGAACCTTGGGTGCATGAGTCCACACTGTCACAAATGCTTTATACTCCAGTGACTCACATGACTCTCCCATGCGTAGGCATTGGTCTCCCCACTGCACAGGGGAGGGGTGGAAACAGGGACACAGAGAATGTTAACTCACGCAGGGTGTCACATCTAGTCAACAGCAGAGTGTGGATTCAATCCAAGCTACCCAGGGCCAGAGGTCTTGCATGGCACCGCTGGGTCAAGGTACCACCTGGACGCGGCTGACACTTGGTATACTACTCTCCATTTTCTTTCACTTTCAGGACATACCACTGTTTTATTACTTTTTTTTTTTTTAAGATTTTATTTACTTATTTGATAGAGAGAGACAGTGAGAGAGGGAACACAGCAGGGGGAGTGGGAGAGGGAGAAGCAGGCTTCCCGCTGAGCAGGGAGCCCGATGCGGGGCTCGATCCCAGGACCCTG